AAACAGAAAACAGAAAACAGCACTGTTAAAACAAGGAAGGAAACTGAAAGGATCCGATGTCTTCATGAACGAACATCTGATAAAAAGAAATGCGGACATTGCCAGGAAAGCACGTTACTTGAAGAAACAGGGAAAAATTCAAAATACATGGACCACCAACTGCAAAGTATTCATTAAACTCAATGGAACACCGGAACAAGCCAAAGTGTTGGTCATCAGAAATATGGAAGAGCTGGACAAATACTGAGGTCAACTTACTCTGGAGGTATGAATACACATGTGACGTGACACACAACACAACACATGGCACAGTCCAAAAGAACTTCATCTGCATCCGGCAACAATATCAACATGACTCATTGGAATTCTCTTTATGATAATCTGGAACTGAGAACATTTCGATACACAGACCATAATGTTCTAGACTTAGAAAAGGATATAGACCCGGAAAATAATTTCTTCTACAACATCAGCTGTAACTGCTGCTACTTCACTGATGAACAGTTTAAGCACACCATCAACACGGAAAATAAATTATCAATAATCCATTTTAATAGCAGAAGTCTGTATGCCAACTTCAACAATATAAAGGAATATCTAAATGAGTTGACAAATCCATTTGGAATTATTGCCATTTCTGAAACATGGATCAATGCGGAGAAAGGAATGGACTTTGGACTGGAGGGATATGAAGTGAATTTTGTAAATAGAAGGAACAAGAGTGGAGGGGAGTAGCTGTGTATGTGGATAAAAACCTAAACTACAAGGTGGTAGAAAGTATGACAACTGTAATTGATAATTTACTAGAATGTATAACAATTGAAATTTATAAGGAAAAAGAAAAAATGTAATAATTAGCTGTATATATAGAACACCTGGCTCTAGTATTCAAGTATTTAATGACTTCATAGAGGAAATATTCTCTAAAACAAATCAAAAAGTTATGTTTATCTGTGGTGATTTTAATATTGACCTGTTGAATCCAAAAAAGCATAAAATGACGACGAATTCCTAAACACTATGTACAGTTTGAGTTTACATCCTAAAATAACCAGGCCTAGCAGAATTACACCACATTGTGCCACCTTACTTGACAATATTTTCACTAACAATATGGAAAACAACATTGTGAGCGGAATATTAATTAATGACATCAGTGATCACCTACCAGTTTTTGCAGTTTATGACACTAATTATAAGAAAATCAGCATGAAGAACAACTGAGATACAGACGTGTAAGGACGAGAAGAAACTATGACTGCATTTAAGAACGATCTATTAAATCAGGACTGGGACAATGTGTACAAAGAAGCTGATATTGATATTGCATATGGCATATTTTTAAGAATATTCATGGAGTTGTACGATAAAAACTGTCCAACAATAAAATACAACAGAAAGCACAAATATTCAGATAGACCATGGCTCACTAAGGTTTACAAAATGCATGTAAAAAGAAAAATACACTCTATAGGGAATACCTAAACAAAGAACAAAAGATGCTGGAAAATAAATATAAAAAATACAAAAATAAGTTGACCAATATTATACGTGTATGTAGAAAGGAGTATTATAGTAAAATATTGAACAACAATAAACATAATATGAAAGGAATATGGGATGTTTTAAACGGTATCATTAAAAATAATTCTGGACAACAAAGTTATCCACAATACTTTATCGATAATGGCAATATTATGGAAAACACTGCTGATAAGGTCAACAGCTTTAATCATTATTTTGTAAATATTGGACCAAAACTGGCAGAACAAATTCCTGAGTCACTGCCATCAGTAGAATGTAGTGAAAACCTGATTGATAGGAACCCTAACTCAATGTTCCTCACATCAGTGGAGGAAAAGAAATAATTGACATTGTACACATGTGTAATATAAAACATCTACTGATTGTAATGATATTGACATGAAAATCGTCAAGAAGGTCATTGAAGGAATTGTAGACCTCTAACATATATTTGCACTTATCATTTCAGACGGGAAAGTGCCAAACAAAATGAAAATAGCTAAAGTTGTGCCGCTGTATAAAACCGGGATAGACGCCACTTCACAAATTACAGGCCTGTTTCTTTACTACCACAATTCTCCAAAATCCTAGAAACCTGTTTAATAAACGATTAGACCAAATTCTTAGATAATATAAATTACTCTCTGACAGTCAATATGGATTCAGATCAAAAAGATCAACATCTCTGGCATTAATCGAATCAATTGACGAGATTACGAATGCTATAGATCAGAAACAGTATGCAGCTGGAGTATTTCTGGATCTCAAGAAAGTATTCGACACAATCAATCATCACATATTAATTAATAAACTGGAACGGTATGGGATTAGGGGGTGTACTGCAATGGGTGAAAAATTATTTAAGTGACGGAAACATTTGTGAGCTGGTGTCATCCTCATCATGTTGGACATTGCTTGTGTGTTCCACAGCTCTGTACTGGGTCCAAATTATTTATTATTTATATAATGAATTTGTAAGGCATCTGATATATTAAATTAGTATTATTTGCAGATGACACAAATATTTTTTGTTCTGGGGGAATCTAAAGGAGCTGCTGGATACAATTACTTCAGAAATGTGCAAAATTAAAAAATGGTTTAACAGGAACAAACTATCGCTAAATCTAAGTAAAACTAAAATTATCTTATTTGGGAATTCCCTTAGAAATGCACAAGTGCAGATTCATGTAGATGGTGTGGAAATTGAAAGAGTACTTGAACATAAGTTTCTTGGTGTGATTATAGATGATAAATTAAACTGGAAGTCTCATATAAATCATATACATAACAAAATTTCAAGAAGTGTCTCAATCTTGAGTAAAGTAAAACACATTCTGGACCACAAACACTCCACATTCTCTATTGTTCCCTGATTGCACCGTATTTGAATTACTGTGCAGAGGTTTGGGGCAATACTTACAAATGTTCGCTATCATCAATCTTTATATTACAAAAAAGGGCCATAAGGATAATCCATAAAACTGGTTACAGAGATCATACAAATCCACTATTCTTAAAATCAAAAATTCTAAAATTCACAGATCTGGTTCATTTTCTCACAGCACAAATTATATATAAAGCAATAAATAACCTGCTTCCTGACAATATTCTAAAAATGTTTTCTAAAAGGGAACGGGGATACAATTTGAGGGGGAATTAAATTTAAAACATCCTCGTATCCGTACAACATTAAAAAGTTTTTGCATCTCTGTGTGTGGAGTGAAGCTGTGGAACAGACTAAGTAAAGATATGAAGCAATGTCCAAGCATGGCGCAGTTTAAAAAGCGGTTTAAGGATATGGTTTTTACAGGGTACAGGGAAAAGGTAGAGATTTGATAGGGTGTTCTTGTCTAATATTTTCATGTGTGTGCGCATGCACGGGTTTGTTGGTATGGGTATATATATATATATATAAGTAGGTTGTGTATCCTTGAGGTGTTAATGGGGTTATTGAAAATGTGTATATGTGCGTATGTGTGTATATACGTATGTATGGATAGATAGAAACATATATGTGTATATATTAAAAAAAAAAATTACACATAACATATAATGTAATTGCAAGGAGGTATTTCTGTAGTCTATTGATACTAGATAGTGGAAAAGGGGTGGGATTAAATAAGCTTATGCTTCTTCCTGCTCCTTTTTGAACATGGACGTTATTTGGAGTTGTGGTTGCTCGTTTTCCTTTTGTTTGCTTTGTTCATTTGTCTCTTTTAATTCTATTTTTTATACTTTTTCAACATGTTCAAAATAAAGATTCAATCAATCAAAGATACAAAAGTACCAGTGGTGTCCTGAAAAACCTGCAGTCTCCACAGCTCCAGCTCCATAATTTATTCTCGTGGTAGCTTTACATGATTCAAAGTTTAAAACAATCCATGATAATCTTATATGGGCCTGAGAGCAAGGCCCCCAGGTTTGTCTGAAATAAGCTGTTTTAGTTTCTCCCCATTTAAGGCAATCCTTGCTTTAAGCCAGCTTTCTTTTGATTGGCTGCCCCTCATAAAAGAATCTTAAATAAGGTGGGCGGGGCTTCTATTATCACTACCAGAGCTGTGTGCCTGATCTGATCATATAAGGATATTCTGCCCTTATGACATGACAGAGCACAGTGAGGAGAAAGCAGTGTGAAGCTGAGTGTTCAGAGCAGCGTGAGGGTCACAGGGGTTACCGCCCATACGCTGATGTCATTATTAGTAAGGCTGAGCAGAATATACAGCATACAACACAAAGCAGAACATGCACAAGACGCACGGTGTGAACGAGTCTGTCTGGTCTGTTAGTTCCAGAAAACTTCTTCATATTTTGTTTGTAAAACATTTTTTACATTTTAAGGTCCAATTTTCAATCCAAACAATGTTTTGGTCTCAGAGCTTCTCTTCTGCTCTCACACTGATGTCTCAGAGAATGAAACGAATCATAGAAGCAAATGTTCACTGTTTAATGAACAAAGACACAGATGGTTATTAATAAAGCCTGGAGGTCATGCTTACAGGGTGTAGGGCTTTAAATATCAGTCATTTTAAAGGAATATTCCAAAACTTAAAGCTTTTGTTTATCATATTATTTTATATTTTAGGGCACTTTCAGTGTGCCTCTTTGAATCCAATATGATGGGCATATATAAAGTATTTTTGGACACTTTGGGAATGAAATGAACTAATCATAGATAGAAATCTTCAGATTCACCGCTAATAAAATATCACTTGGAGCGATTTGTAATGGAGGAGAATGGAGCGTGTTCAGAGGTTCAGCAGCAGCACAGAGATCAATATCATTAATCCTCAGCTATATCACCGTTCACATACAACACTGAACACTGTTTAAAAAAGCTCACACTTTCCCCACTTTAAGAAAACATACAGTAAAACCCTGAAATATCAACATCAGTAACAATAATGAGAAAAACACTCACTGTGTTCATGGTTCTGCACTTTAAAAATACCTGAAGTGAAGCTGAAAAGGGGTTTTACCTGGCAGGATGAGGAGAAGCACGAGAGGCGCAATTGATCCACTGCAGAGGAACTTCATCTCGTTCTGATAACTGTTATTGACCCGGCAAAAACAGTCTATTAGTAACAGTGCAAACACACATCAGAGTCCGACCACAGAGCAGGGAGGAGGAACCTCACTGAGACAGAGAGAGAGAGGGAGAGAGGGCTGATGATGCAGGTCAGTGTGTTTGCTGTAGTGCGGTGGTCCCTGTATGGGGGCTCAACAGTGTCACAACAACTTCTGATTCCTGCTAACCATGTTGGCTAAAAATCCTCCTTAAGGTGCTATGATGACATTTTTGTTAACATGTTACAAAACCTTCAAACATCAGATTAACAATTTGTAGCTCTTAAATATAATTTTGCACTTTTACTGATGTTACAGTTACACTTTGTATTGTTGGGTTAACCAACAACATTCTCAGAATGTCTCGTGCAGTTTACTGATTCATTTATTTATCTTTCTCTGCTGTTTTTTCCCTTTAACATCATTTTTAAACTGTTTTCATTTTAAGGTGGCAGAGGTTTGGTTTTATTCAAACTATAAAACAGACATCCAGGTGAAAGAAAACTAAATGGTGTCAACCAAAATGACAAATTCCATCCTTCCAACAATAATCCACAAGCCAGCGATCAGTGTCACACGAAGCGACGTCCAGGATGAGCAGGATGGAGGAGCTCAGTGCATCGATCACATCTCCAGCTTGTCTGACAGTTTGTCCTAAATGTGCGGTTACATTTAAAAACTCATCACAACTTTAATATTTCAAGAACCTCAAAATCTGCTGTGTGGCGTGTGAAACCACTTTGTTGGCCCACATGTGTATTTGGTGTGACTCGTGTGGAGAGCCGACTGAAAAAATAAAGTCTGAGAAGTGATGTGATGACATCAGGAGGAGATTAGCGGATTAGCAGGAATTAAATTGGCAGACAGAGACGTGGTGATGAAGTCAGAGGTTAAAGTCTGTTCTTTGGAACAGAAGTAAGGAAAAAAGCAGCATATTGTCCAGTTTGGTTTTCTCTTTGTTTACCAGTGACTCAGTGGAAGTTTAAAACAATGATGTCAGTTTCTACAGAAACATCTACAATCTTCCAGTTTGTGCTCCACTGAAATGATCACAGACGATCGTTCATGTGAGCCCAGAAAGGTTAGTGCTCTGATCTTTGGTAGTTTGTATTTCATTTCATGAAATGTAAGAGGGTTCATTATAAAACAGCTGAATACAGCAGCTGATCTAAAACTGAAACATTTCACATTTAGTTTACTAAAGAAGCTGCAGATCAGGAGTGTGTCTGACATGTTCAGTTTTCATACTCCAGCAGTAGGTTTTAAAAAGCACTGCAGAGATCTCCCAGCTGGCTTTGCTCAGCGTTTTTGTCTTCTCAAGCTGCTTTTGTTGAGAACTCAAAAGCATCTGAAGGTTAATTGAGCTGGGACGCTGCTGACAGCTAATTCTTATAACTCCTCCTGGAAAATAAAAGTAAAAGCCTTTCAGGTGGGCCGAGGGCCAAAGCCGGCCTGAACCGGCCAACAGAAACCAGTTATGGAGCCAAACTTTAACAATGCGCACTGATACTGGGAGCAGGTGTTACCAGACCAGTGTGATGGAAGGCTCAGGTCCCTCCACACAGTCTGATGTGCCAAAGTCCAACTCACACCTGAGCTCACAGAAATGATCTTTTTTTCTTTTTATCAGTTACAGTTTTCATTTAAATCAGTGAAAACAGGGTCAACAAATCAATTTAAAACCTTAATACCTCAAAGCTCATAAATGTGAATAAAGATGTGAATTTATACATTTTCCTCCTGTGCTTTACAGCTGGTATAAATCCTCATGTTATGGATTAATGGCAGCACGGTGGTTAGCACTGTTGCTGCACAGCAAGAAGGTCCTGACCATCAGGCCGGGGTCTTTCTCTGTGGAGTTTGCATGTTCTCCACGTGTTTGCGTGGGTTCTCAATTGAAAATATGATTTGGACATAAAGGTGAATTTATTTATTTATGTAGTTTATTTTTCCCATATTCAGCATATACTGACTGAAGTGCACCATCTTGTGGTGCAGCTTGGTATACATGTCAGTAGAGTTCAGATAAGATAAGATAAGATAAGACAGTGGTGCCCAAACTTTTTTGCTAAGAAAAATGTTCGCCCCCACGCGCGCACGCACGCACAAACACATCCTCCAACCACACGCGCCCATATTTGCTCCATTGCGGTTTATTTCACACCTCAAACATTTAGTGAACAGTTAATCAAATACAAGTAACCTGCTATAAATTACAGGTAGTAAGAAAATAAACTCTTTTACGCTGCGTCCGCACACACGGGTATTTTTGAACACGCAGCTGTTTCGTCCACGTAAACGGCGTTTCGAAACGGAGATTATTTAAAACTCCTTTTTTGCGTTTATGTGTGGACGAGGAATACAGAGTTCGTCACGCAACGTCAAAGGTATGTTTTTTCACGTCACGCTGTGGCCACGTTATTGTTTACATGAGAGGAATAACAGAATGGAGATAGAGACGAAATACTGTTAATCTGACTGTCTGCAGGTTTTACACGCAGTTACTGTCCCTCTGTTTACAAAGGCAGAGGCGTCACGGTGATTATTTTACTGTTGTTTGTTTGTTTCCTTG